GTAAGCTCCCAAAGCGCTTACAATTTCTTTCTAATTATAATAATACCTATTATTTTGTATAAAATAAAAAAAATGTATATTTTTTTATGTAATTTGTGTAAGCTACATATTTTAAAATATATATTTTAAAATATAATATATTTTTAAGAAAAGTAAATTGAATGTTATTTCTCTCATATTTCTATATCATATTATAAAAGATATACGTAACTATTAATTAAAAATATTAACATTACATTCTAAGTAAAACAACTTAAATACTATAAAATGGCTTACTTTATTTTTCCCTGAGTTCACCCTTCGCTTACTATATTAAAATTACATTGTAAGTAAAACAGCTTATAATTATTTATGTCGTCCCATCCTCCTTCGCTTGCAAGTGCACCGACGAAGCCAGTTCGCCCTTCTTCTTTGCACTTCTCGAAGCATTTGGGAAGCAATCAATAGCAAGCTCTTTTGTCCACGCCGAACGCTAACACCTTGTCTCCTCTGTTCAGCGATCAGGGACATCGTCGCATTCGGCTCATCCCTAGAAGGAGAGTATTCCTCTTCATTCTTATTTTCTTCCTCCTCACCTCACCTCCGCCTCACTCACTTTCCCTCTCTCGTTCATCAGAGAAAACATTTTGCTTGATTGCGAGAGACTGGAGAGCATGGGGTAAAAGAGGGAAAAGCCGATCAATAATGCGGGCCGCAGGGTCGATCCTGCGGCCCGCATTCTGCCTATTTTAGCAGCGAGCAGCCGTGAACACATCATCCAAAGTGAAATTTTTTTATCAGCTTCGCGATTTGGGGCCACGCCGCGCAAAATACGCGGCCCCAAATGGAGCCTTAGAGATCTATATAATTTTTGTTTTATAAATGTGATAGTTAAACTTTAGAAATAATCTTTTAATAACTCGAGTTAAAACTAAAATGTAAGAATATATAGTAGTCAAGTCTAAGAGTTCATTTTTGATTTATTTCAAGAATACTTGTAATTTGGTCATATTTTGAATGCTTAAAAGAATTACAGTAAAAAGAACATCTTGAATACATTATTAGTAAGGATGCTAATATTTTAAGCCTTAATTTAGATATGTAATTAAGTTTCTTTCCTTAAGATGATTCAAGTTGAGATAATTTTTTATTAGGCATCTTCTCACACTTTTTCAGTTTTGCTCTTCTTTTGTTCTTTTGAATTTTCTTCTCTTTTTCTTTAGGATATTTTTCAATCCTTTTTTTTTTTTATGTCATGTGAGGATTTTATATCTGGATAGTCTTTAATGATTTTGAACTCCTTCATCCTTTACTTAAAATTAAAAACTTTCCATATTTCCCTTTTTTAACAAAATTGTATTAGCTTCAAAAAAGACTTTTTATAAAGTCTCAGTTCCTTCTTTTTAAGTAAAACTCTAAAATTCTTAACCATTTTCTTTACTTTAAATAGTAAGAACATAATCTTACCTCTCATACTAAATTTTTTAACTTTAGACCTAACCGTTATTATTAAAAACTTTAACTTAAGTTCTCTATAAAAATTATAAAATTTAAAATATGGTTATCTTAAGTTATCATAAAAAACCACAGGTTAAATATGGTTATCTTAAGTTATCATAA